GGGTATGGGGGTAAACGGAAAAGAAGAAAGAATATACAGAGGAAGAGGAATGCAGAGAAAAAGAACGGAGAGGAAATTGTAAAAAAGAATAAAAAGTTAGAGAAGGAAACGAAGATTAGGAAATGAAGATTAAGAAACGAAGATTAGGAAACGAAGATTAGGAAATGAAAAGAAGGAAACGAAGATTAGGAAACGAAAAGAAGGAAAAAAAGATCAGGAAACGAAAAGAAGGAAAAGAAGGCTAGCAATAAATATAAGAGAAACGATATCAAAAGAAAAAAGTAAGGACAACGAAAGAAAAACGAAAAAAGGAATAAAAGGATAAAAAGACGGAAGAAAGAAAGAAAGAAGAACAAAGGCAGATAATCAAGGGAAGAAAATTTGGAAGAAAAGCAATTAAGGAAGCAAGATGAAAAGGGAAGAAAAAAAGATATAATAAAAAACGGAGAAAAGAAGTGCATGGGGAAGAATAAAGAAAGAAAGCACAAACAAAGAAAGGAAAATATGAGAGCAGGGAAGAGGAAAGGATGGATAAAAAAAAATCATAAAGAAAAACGAAAAGATGAATAAGTACAAGTTTAGATATAAACACAATAATATTAAAAAAAAAATGCAAAAAATTTGAAAAAGAACTTTTTTGTCTCAGAAAAGTTTGTTTTGAATCTTCATGACAGAAACAATCTCAAGATCTAACGATGGGTTAACCCAGACTGAAATATCTTTTCAATAAAATGTGGAACTAACATTTATTTTATTTACTCTATAGAGGTTTGTTCCATCGTCAACAACAAAGGAATTGAGTCGTTGCCAAAACCCTAAATATCATAATTCCTGTATCTTTGCAAACTTAGATTATTTAATCTATTAGAATTCATAGTTTGAAATATCTAAGATCTGTGACATTGGGCCACAAATACATATGGATTATTAGAAAATCAGATTTTATGGCAAAGACTCATTTCCTTTAACAAATTTCAATGCATATTATCTAGAGATATATGATCTATCTATCTATCTATCTATCTATCTATCTATCTATCTATCTATCTATCTATCTATCTATCTATCTATCTATCTATCTATCTATCTATCTATCTATCTATCTATCTATCTATCTATCTATCTATCTATCTATCTATCTATCTATCTATCTATCTATCTATCTATCTAACTATCTATCTATCTCTCTATCGATCTATCTATGTATGAACTCTAATCCTTTGAACGTAAGACCAAGTGTGTACCCTATAATTATGTTTATCTGTACTTCTGTTCCCACTGGTTACTGTTTATCACCAGTGTTTGTGTTCGTATCCTTATGTGTGTGTATGTGAAATATTAGAATATTCTGAAGAAGTTTTTGTTGTTTTTCCACCTTTTGGCCAACATTTCCTACCTCTGATTCCCTTAACAGAGGGACGTTAAGTTACTTAATGTCCCTTGCGACAATTAATTGATATAACTGCACCCACTCTCCGAAGTTAATTCATAAAAAATCGCGCATCTTCAATTCAAACTTTTTCGGGAATTTAAAAATGTTACTTAACCACGGGTTCCCTCAACCAATTCTACCTACAAAACCTCCCTCGCAACGCTCTCGATGTTTTGTTGGTAAAATTGGTCTATGGAACCCTTGGTAAAATAAAATTCCTTTACCTTCCCTGTAAAGTAGGTATAAATAACTATTTTTTCCAATTTTTTTTTCTGAATTTCTCTTATCATAAAATGTCACTAGAAAGTTGATTAATTTGATAATTTTTTTACAAAATTGTTTCATTGTAATTCGAAATTTGATTTTGCTTTTTATTTATATATTAATTGTTAATTTTATATTTATTTAGAAAGAATGTTTTAAAACACAAAATTAAAAAAATCATAATAAAATTTGTTCATTTTTATAGATATATTGTAAACTGTGAAACATTTGTAACATACAATATGTAAAACGAACTGTGTAGAATACTGAAGAGGTGTATTGTATATTGTATAAAGCACAGGTGAACTGTGTAGAATACTGAAGAGGTGTATTGTATATTGTATAAAGCACAGGTGAACTGTGTAGAATACTGAAGTCCCACCCACATAAACACAAACAAACATACAGAAATATCTTTGAATTTACTAGTAAAGCTTTTGGCTTTGTAACAACATCAAATGCAGTTCAGTATTGATTTAATGTCTTCTTCCTAATCTACAGTTTTCTGGTTATCACTGTACAGCAGCGTTTACAATTTATATTAATACTTCTCCTGGTGTTCTACCAATATCAGACTCCTTGGAATACAAAACTTAGGAAATTAATCAAAAACTTTTTCAATATTCGTAATTCAATGGTTTGCGGGGGAGTGTGTACACTGAGGAAGGGGAATTAAAGTTTCCGGTCGTCTGTACAGTCTCATCCTCTTTAGGTGACCCCTGTATGTTATTCTAACCACTAGAAAACAGATTTAATTTGTTCATCAATCAATATATGACAGATGACAAAAATATAGTAGTACTGAAGAGGTGTATTGTACATTGTATAAAGCACAGATAAACTGTGTAGAATACTGAAGAGGTGTATTGTATATTGTATAAAGCACAGATGAACTGTGTAGAATACTGAAGAGGTGTATTGTATATTGTATAAAGCACAGGTGAACTGTGTAGAATACTGAAGAGGTGTATTGTATATTGTATACATCACAGATGAACTGTGTAGAATACTGAAGAGGTGTATTGTATATTGTATAAAGCACAGATGAACTGTGTAGAATACTGAAGAGGTATATTGTATATTATATAAAGCACAGATGAATTGTGTAGAATACTGAAGAGGTGTATTGTATATTGTATAAAGTTTCTGAATGAACTCTCTAAGTTGTTGATGGATAAAAATTGTTCTGTTTTTCTCAAGCTTGAAGCAGAAATCTTAAAAGTTGAAGTGGGTATATATACACTTTACACAATACACTTTATACACTAGTCAGGGCGCTTAAATGAGCATGAGACTGTCACGATTTCTTAGAACGAAAATTAGATTTTTGAATAAAAATGGTCAAAAATGATTTAAAGCACTGCAATTCAGTATTAATATTACATGTGTACGGTAAGTACAATTCATATTTTCTGATTCTCCCTGTATCCTTCTTTCTCTATCTCCCTTTAGACTTTATATAGAATATGTATACCCTCTGTACAGTGAACGTACATGAAGGTGAATAGAGGTATTGTGTATTTAAACCTTTATCTAAACTTCACCAAACTTCTATTGTACAGAATATTACAATGAGTGGGGGGG